AAAGGTTATTGACCTGTTGAGATTACTGACATCAATGCTCCAAAACTATATATATCTGATTCCAATGTATAAGGTTTATTATTTAATATCTCTGGTGCTAAGTATGGTAATACTCCATATACATTATTTTCATTTGGTTTTAAAATTTGATCAGCTGGAGTAGATAATCCCAAATCTGCAATAAATGAAAAATTGTCATCTTGAAGAATATTACCACAATGAAGATCATGATGAATGAATTTTTGTTCATGAATCTTTTTTAAACCTTCAATAATATCATAAAGAATTTCTATTTTTTTATGCCATTTTAAAATTTTAAATTCTTTTGTTAAATAATTTAGAAGATTTCCATTTTTCATATATCTCATTGCAAATATATAATCTTTTGTAACTGGATCTTGTGTTAATCCATAAATACTGATTATCTGAGGAGCAAATTGGCGGTGAAATTTAACATAATTTTTGAACTGATAAAAATATTTAATTTAACAATTATAGTTAATTATTTATATTTTAATAAAAAAATAAATAAATGTAATATTTTACCTTGTTTAAAAATTCATCAGAAATATTTTGTGAATAATGTAATTTTTTTAATGCAACAATCATATCTTCACAACATCTTTTATTATCAAATACATCTACATATTTTTTACCATTTATCCATACAGCTTTGTATACAGTTGCAAAACCACCCTCACCTATCTTTTCAATTTTTTTCAATTTGTCATAAGAAATCCATTCAAGATAATAATTATTATTATTATACTTTGTTGCTGTAAGTTGTGTACTTTTTATTAACTCATCAATGGTTTTGTTGCCACTACTCCATCCCAGAGTTAATAATTGTGGATCACAAGATTGACACCATGAATAATCAGTGTTATATCTATAACAAGTTGGACATTCTCCATAAATTTTTTTTCTTTCGTTTGAATATTCATCATTTGAAAATAATCTCAATAATCTATCTTTTATTATATACATTTGGATTTAAAAAATTTTTATTGTATCCTTTTACAAATATATAGCAAAAGCCATCAAGAGCAGTGTTGTCAAATTTATAGTATTTCAATCGGAAATTGGAACATTCCAAATGTAGTTCTAATCAAGGCTTGAAATTTACACCAGTTTCTCTGACGCACTTTTGAAAAATCCTGTTGAAATTATAGCAGCCGGATTTAAACCAGTAATTATCTAATTAAGATTGTGACTAGTGTGTTACCATTTGCGAAAGCAAACGGTAATAATAATAATTAAATTAATCACGTCAGGTTGCCAAATTACTAAATTTATGTATGCAGAACATAATAATAAAATTTTTATACATTATATAAATCCTGCTTAAAATTGTTGAAATCCTGATTGGTTTGAGTATAGCCGGTTTTTTCTGGAACAAATTAAAATTAAAATGAGCATAGTGGAAATTTGATTTCATTGGCTAAATTTGCGACGCAATTTGAAGACAAAATAATTTTATATATTGGGGAGAGATTTGGGCTTTGAATAGATTCAAATGAATTTCAAGTTGATTCAAGTGTATATATATAGTCAAACCTTGTCACAATGGATGAACGGGACACATAAGAAAATTTTTATTTATTGCTACAATGGATTTTTATATGTGAAGCAAAATTTTTAAAAATCCACTACAACAAAAATTTGATTTTAGTCCACGGTGACAAGGACCGCTATGACAAGGTTCTTAGGTAGTAGAAGTAGTTAATATCTATTGTATATTTAATATTAACAATAATGAAACTTTACACTTGTTACAAAATGTTTAATAATGGTGATAATAATTACTTGATGGAATATCAAATGATGAAAATAGTGATTATGCTTCATTTTTCAAATAAAATCAAAATGTAGCAGAACATGACAAGGTCCAGGTATATTTAGAAAATCTAGAGATTTATCTGGTGATGATAGGTGCAAAAATCAGATATAAATCCATTGGATGGAAATAAATGAACAAACAATAGATTTTAAATATCACAAAAAATCTACCAGAATGAATGAAGAACTGTTAAAGCTTTATTAATTGTTATTAAAAAAATAAAATATTCCAAATATTTATTTATTGTTTGCTTTTTTAAGTATTTTATTTACTATTGTCACCAATTAATTTTGGGAGGGTGTATCTTTAAACAATAACTAAGGATCCGGATGAATCAAATCAATTTGAATTTTAGAGTGATTCAATTTGATTTGTTCTGTAGTCAATTCAAATTCAAAAAAAACTGGATCAAACTGAAACTCGGATTAACTACACATGGTTTAGATCTCTGTTAAAATCATGCACACATATTTTTTCGATTTTTTCCATAGATCAATATTAATAAATTTTCTCAACTAAAATTTACACAAAAAATGAATCGCATTATAAGTAACCTATAAAAATAATAGGTCAAAACCCTAAATACACTATAAATCATATAATCACAAAAAAAAATTAAAAATAATCAATTATGGATTTAGATAAAGAAATTTATGGTCCTTGTACTCCTGAGGAACGGACTGAGTATTGCTGCTGGATGCCGCAAGTTCGTGCAGATGAAACTCCTGGAGAGTCGAAACAACGAATTTGGGATCATTTGATGTATTTTAGAGAAAATGGTCTTTTCCCGAGTGAAAGCAAAAAATACCTTGAAGCTAGAAAATTAATACGATTTCGGAGTGATGCGAATGAATTTTGGACAAGTTATGTTCCTGAAATCGGTATAGCAATCTGTTTCTCTTACAATCAATTGGTATATATCAGACAAAGTACTAAAAGTATTGGAAATTATAATCATATAGGAATGGAGAAGCATTGGACTGGTAGTTGTACTGGAAATAAATTCCGTGGTATTAGCTTTGAAGTCATAAAACTTAGACAAAAAGCTAAGCGAACATTTGGTGAAAATTTTGCATTACATCGATATGGATTGTGGGAAATCGATGCAACAGAAAAATCCAGCGTGCTAGACATGTTGGGAAAATGATTCAAGCATGTGTCATCATACAAAGAAAATATATAGAATATTATTATCGCCTTGATGGACTTTGTGCTACAGCGTTATCTAATCATTATAAGATATTATGGAGCATTTGAGAAGAAATGCACCAGTCTAGCAGTGTACAGACGGTTTGTGAAATAAATATTTATCTATTTATTAATGTATAGCTTATTTATCACTTTTATTTATTGATATCCCTAACCCTGAGGGCTGGTATCTTTTTTATTTTTCTGGAATATATTCAAAAATAAATATCACGTTGTAGAACTATTACGATAACAAGGCTATAGAGTAGTTATTTACAGTCAATGGTTTAAAATGCTGGAATGGGCACATAATCCAGAATATTATCTTAATAATGGCTGTAAAAAATTCGTTAGAATAGAATAGATCAAATGTGTTTTTTTTTGTATCTACAAATTGGAAGGCACACATGATTTTCATATCTTATTTTTTTTCGTTAAAGGTAGTAATTACTTTGTAGATAAAAACAATATAATTCGGATTGCATATTTGATAATAGTTTTTCATATAAGCATAGTTTTTATTCAAAATAAAAAATAACTTTTCGAAATGTCGATCACTTTTATGTTTATAAAAACGTATTGGCAAGAAATACACACTTATGCACTAATTGAGAGGAGGCAAATCTGATTAATAAATTATGAATTATCACACAACCGACCATTGCAAATATAACACGCAAGTCACGTGAAAAATTTATCTCACCTTTATTAATAACGGTTACAAAAAATTCTTATTTAAAAATTCGAAAAGAAAGAGCCACATAAATCTAATTTATCATATCACTATGGTTGGCTCGGTCTAAAGACCTCCTATTGCTGCGACACGTGCTCAAATTTCAAAAATTGCAATTTCGTGATTCGTTCAAAAATGCAATAAAATTTTTTTAATTCGTAATCTGTGAAACAACTGCAAAAATTTGCCGATCATTAATATGTTTTTGTGGCGATAATAAACATTATAATTTTCAGGAGTTTTGAGAATCTGACATTACCTCACGTGACCAACGTGAGTCAAGAAAATTACGCGACTGATAAATTTTTTTTTATTTTTTAAGCATAACCTTTTTCATTTTTTTAATAAAAACACAAAATAATAATGAGTAAAAGGAAAACTTACCCAGTTTCTTTAATAACTCTTGGCCATTTGAAAAAAATTTTACATTTTGGTGTAAACATTCAAATAATTATCACAATTATTTACAAACGTTTAGATATTTATTTAACACTGTTAGTGAACTGATAATTTTATTGTTGTAAAATTATATAAAAGTTATCTTTACTTGTTTAAATCTTACATCTTTAAATAATAAAAATACAATTCTTAAAATACAAATATAAATCATAAAGAAATATATAAATATATAATCTATATATTGTATGGAAGCTTATAGACTTCCCAGAAAGTATTGATCATAATTAAAGATAACTTCTTAATTATAAATAATATAAATAAAATAATAATATGATTATGTCCCCCACAATATAATATCCACTTTTCTTAATAAAAATAATAATGATAATAATATGTATAATTTTTCACCAAAAATCCGATTGCCAAGTAACTTAAACGATAAAAAAAAATATGAATCCCTCTTACCAAATATGGTAATAATTGTCTCACAGAGCACGAATTAATATGTTTAGTTATTACATTGTAAAACTAGAGATATGCACCTCATTGATCATTATTTGAAATCAGTAATTGTATGTACCTTCCAAGTTATTTTTTACATATTTTAAAATAAACAATAAATAATTATTATGTTTTGAGTACCAATAGTTATTTATTATTTTGTGTTAATAATAAATAAATGGGTACCTCATTAGTTAGCCATTTCTTTTTTTTTTCACATTTAAAATATTATTTTAATTTTTCTTTTTTTTCAAATTTAAAATATTATTTTAATTTTTCTTTACTTTTCATATTTATCAATTATAAGAACAAATTTTATTTTGTTTTTATTTTATGAATATGTCTCGTCCTAATATTTTGTTACTTGTATTTTATGCATTCCTTACTTTTGCATATGCTCAAACTCCAGGTATACATCATTGATACATTTATATATAAGATAATATATTTATTATTTTTTCAAAATTTTTGCCAAATAATAATATTAATATTAATACCTTTAGATGTAAACGACACCAACCCCAATCCAGATCAAAGCGCAACCACAACAGATGAAGGATCTGTTTCTTGCAGTGATAGTGGTTATATAGCTGAAGAATATAATCTAGGTCTTCATATTGCTTCATTTTTTATAATACTTGCAACAAGTTCATTGGGTAAAAATAAATAACTAATTATTAATTTCTCTTGATATTAATTATAACATTATTATTAATTATTAACATTTAATATCACATTAAATGACAGGTGCTTTTATTCCAGTTATATCTACTAGAAACCCCAACTTGAAGGTTCCAAAATTAGTTTATTTCTGTAAGTATTGTTAAAATATAAGCATTCATATATTGTAATTATATAATATTAATCTATGTGTTATTGTTATTTTTGCAATTATATTTAGCCACAAAACATTTTGGTACTGGTGTTATTCTTGCAACTGCTTTTATTCATGTAAGCAATGGCCAAATGAGAAATCAATCCAATATTTGATTGACTTTTCAAAAAAAATTTATCTTGTTTTTACATTAGATGATTCCTACAGCATTTGAAGCATTAAGCGAAGACTGTCTTCCGGAAATTTGGCATAATTATGCATGGCCAGGTGCAATTTCTATGATGGCAGCGTTATTAGTTTTCTTCATAGAATATTTGGCCATAAATTATACTGATGAATATGATGATAAAAATAAAGAAGTAAGTCTCCCAAGAAATAACTATGATCCTAAAGGAAATGACAAGATCACTAATATCAGTCAACCAAGTGGGACTTTAGTTGTGCTAACTAATAGTTCACAAACAATCGGTGTAGTAGTTTTAGAATTTGGTATTTGCTTTCATTCAGTAATAATTGGAATGGCATTGTCAGTTACTAGTGGGACTGAGTTTATCTCTTTATTATGTGCTTTGGTTTTTCATCAGGTAAGAATAAATTAATATATATATATGTCTTTCAACAATAACTTCTAAATATGTTTATTATTATTAAAGACATTCGAAGGTTTGGGACTTGGTTCAAGAATTGCAGCATTAAAGTTACCAGAAGGCAGCTTTAAACCATGGCTTATGTCATTAGCTTATGGTGCTACAACTCCACTTGGAATAGCTATAGGTTTAGGTGTACGTGAAACATATAATCCATCATCGTCAACTGCTCTCATAATACAGGGGGTTCTTGATGCAATATCTGCTGGAATATTGCTTTATGCTGCATTAGTTGAATTGCTTGCAAGTGACTTCATTTACGGTTCCCAGTTTCGAAAATACTCTGCCCTTCAAAAATTTTATGCATTTTTTCTTTTGCTTCTTGGTGCTGGAATGATGGCTTTGATTGGTGTGTTTATTTATGATTTTTTTATTGTAATGTTTACATAATTTTAACTCTAATATCAATCTTAAATATTTAGGTTATTGGGCATAAATCTTTCAATTCTTGCTTTTTTTGGTTTTTTTTTTCCTTCGTGCCATAAATTAATTAAATTAATTAAAATTATGCATTTAAATTTTAAGTTATTATGTCATTTCATTTTTCTTTCTTTGAAATAAAGTAAATATCACTCAACCGTAAAAAATAATAAATTAATCTTCATGTACAGTGCAGGATACCTAGTTGCCAAACTTTTATTGATTTTCTAATCCCTCCAAAAAAATAGAAAAATGATAAAACTAATTGATGTTATTTTATTGTAGGTTTAATTTAATATTTAATCAATTGCTACAATTAACATTAATTTTTTTACTTTTTTTAAAAAAAAAAAAAGGTATATTTTTATTGAACTTTTTGTGGCGTGTGATGAATTGAGTTGCGCATTAATTACAAAAGAAAAACAACTATTCCAACAAAATTTATCATTTAGTCGTTTACTTTAAAAATATTTTTAAAAGATTAATTGATGAAGAACTAGATAAGGATTTCAAAAATCAACACAAAAAGATGATTTGAATTTAAAAGAAATTTTTACTTGGATATTGATGAAATTGATTTTAAAGAATTAAAGAGTATAATTTCAACACTACTATTGAGAACTTATCAACAAAAATTGTGCCATATTCCCGTTTAATTCCTAACGAGGAGTTTATTGTCACAAAGAAAACAAAAATTGAATCAACAACAATAAAATTTAAACAATTTTGTATACTTTATTTTTTTAATTTTTGTAAGCAATGCACACGAATTTTAATATGAAACTTGTTATTGCAAGAGGTTTTAAATGTCCATATACACACATCTATTCAATATCATTTAGCATAAGCTTGGTAAATGTTCAAATTTTCTTGCAGAAGGATCTTTCCGATAGGGTGCGAAATATTTAAATGCCAATTACGATGATTTAGATGGTTTGATCCTAATTCTTTTTTTATTGGTACCATCACAACTACAAACAAGAGTTTGTTTTCATATGTCATTTTCAAAAGTTTTCTGATCTATCCCTTCTAAACTTAAATCCTAGTTGTTGTGCCGATTGTTCAATGTCCTTAATACTAACTTCCAAATTGGAAATGCATATTAAAGTCTAATTTATATTAGCTTCAACATCTAGCTTCTCGTTCTCATTCTCTTCCTCCTTCTCAGTAACATTACTATCTTCAGGAATGTTCACTAAAGACGTGGTGATTGGTATAAATTCGCTTTTGCTTTCAGAATTACTTGAAAGGCCAATTTCATTCATGATTACTAACAAAGTTTTTAAGGGCAAATTTATTAAAAAAAAGATTTTTTTTTTGCAACTAGGTGCATATTAAAAATTTCGCACATAGGATGCATTTATACGCATAGCAAACAAAATCTAATTTCCCATATGAAAAATAATGAAAATAATTAATAAATGGTGATTATCTATCTACCCAACAATTATTCAACTTTAACCTTATCAACTACTTATCGTTATTATTATTATTATTATTATTACAATTATCATTGTAATTAAATCAACTATTTAATTTGTCCTATTAAATTATATTTCATAATTTAATAAGCTATCATTACTTAAATTCAATTTAGCAATTTCATCGTTTAAATTTAATATTCTACTTGAATGATATGCTAATGGATGTGATTTGTGAATTTGTTGTGAATTACTATTATTACTATTATTATTATTATTATTATTATTATTACCATCACCACCACCACCAATATTATTACTATTTTCATTAAGATTCTCAATTTTAAATTTATTACGAGCAAATACCAAAACCTCTCTGATAGTTGGTCTTTTTAATGGATCTCCATCCCAACACTTCTGCATCATTTGTACACAATCATCAGGCATTCCTGGTAATATTGGTGGTCGTAAACCTTCACA